TGGGTACCAATGCAATTGCTATTTCTTTTCCAAAGAAGATAAAACTTGGGCGGAAAGTAGGGATTTCTGTGCTTCTCAGAATTCCAGTCTACTTCAGCTGGAAAGCAAAGACGAACTTGTATGTACTTATGTTTCCACATTTTCTTTGTTCTGGAAAACATCATCTCTAAGTAAGCTGAATAATTTGAATCAAGTCTTAAATCAGAGAGTAAATGTATGGTCATATCTGAACAATAATTATTAACACTCTGTACTTTGAAGCAATCATTATAAAGGTCATATAAAATTTGTCAAAGATTTACATCTAGGAATTAAATCAATATACAAGATGGACTGAATGAAATTTTTCTGGTTGAATTCAAAGTAATAGATCACTATTTTACTCATTTTATTTAAAGAACCAGCTAAATGGCTTTGCAATGTTTAGTTCTTTTAATTGAATTTATAAATTCTTTTATAACTATTTAACTTCTGTGATGTCTCTGGAATACAATGTACAGCCAATATGGAGGGTCCGGTGATAAAAAATTACCAATTCCTAAGGTCTCATTCCAAAGAAAGGTGATCCAATAGAATGCAAAAATTAGTGAACAATATCATTAATATCACACGCAAGCAAAATTTTGCTGAGGATGATTCAAAAATGGTCGCAGCAGTACATCAACCGGGAACTGCCAGAAATTCAAGACCAATTCCGAAGAGGACATGGAACAAGGGATATCATAGCTGATGTCAGATGGATCTTGGCTATTGGCAGAGAATATCAGAAAGATGTTTCATCGTTGGTAGGGGCCGTAGAGTTGCTTCTGACTCTCAGTGACCCTGTGTACAGCAGAATGAAACGCTGCCGGGTCCTGCACCATCCTCACAATCGTTGCTATGTTTAAGCCCATTGTTGCAGCCACTACTTCAATCCATCTTGTTGAGGGTCTTCCTCTCCTTTACTGACCCTCCACTTTACCAAACATGATGTCTTTCTCCAGGGACTGGTCCCTCCTGATAACACGTCCAAACTATGAGACGAAGTCTCACCATGTTCGCTTCTGAGGAGTATTGAGACTGTACTTCTTCCAAGACAAATTTGTTCATTCTTTTGGCAGTTCATGGTACTTTCAACATTCTTTACCAACACCATAACCCAAAGTCATCAATTCTTCTTCAGTCTTTCTTATTCATTTCCCAGCTTTCACATGCATATGAGGTGATTGAAAACATCAGGGCTTGGGTCAGGTCACCCTTAATCCTTAAAGTGACATCTTTGCTTTCTAACACTTTAAAGAAGTCTTTCGAGCAGATTTGCCCAATGCAATGTGTCTTTTGATTTCTTGACTGCTGCTTCCATGAGTGTTGATTGTGGATCCAAGTGACATGAAATCCTTGACAACTTCAACTTTTTCTCCTTTTATCAGGATGTTGTTTCTTAGTCCAGTTGTGAGGATTTTTGTTTTCTTTATGTTGCGGTGTGGTCCATACGGAAGACTGTAGTTTTTGATTGTCATCAGTAAGTGCTTCAAGTCCTCTTCATTTTCAGCAAGCAAGGTTGTGTCATCTGCATAACACATATTGTTAACGAGTCTTCCTCTAATCCTGAGGCCCAGTTCTTCTTCATATCGTCCAGCTTCTTGGATTATTTTTTTAGCGTACAGATTCAATAAGTATGGTGAAAGAATACAACCCATTCTTCTCAATAAAACATAGGTAAACGGCTATAGTATTATTGATTATGCAAAGGCATTTGACTGTCTGGATCATAACAAATTATGGATAACATTGCGAAGAATGGGAATTCCAGAACACTTAATTGTTCTCATGCGGAACCTGTACATAGACCAAGAGGCAGTCTTTTGGACAGAACAAGGGGATACAGTGTGTTTAAAGTCAGGAAAGGTGTGCGTCAGGGTTGTATCCTTTCACCCCAGTAGCATAGTGGTTAAGAACTTGACTGCTAACCAAAAGGCCAGCAGTTTGAATCCACCAGCCACTCCTTTTTAATTCTTTAAAGTGTTAAAACGTAAAGGTATCTTTAAGGACTAAGGTGTGCCTGATCCAATCTATGGTATTCCAATCGCCTCATGTGAATGTCAAAGCTGGACTATGAATAAGGAAGACCAAAGAAGAATTGATGCCTTTGAATTATGATGTTGGTGAACAATATTGAATTTACCATGGACTGCAAGAAAAACGGACAAGTCTGTCTTGGAAGAAGTACAGCAAGAGTGCTCCTTGGAAGTAAGGATGGTGAGACTTCATCTCAAATACTTTGGACATGTTATCAGGAGAGACCAAACCCTGGAGAAAGACATCATGCTGGGTAAGGTAGAGGGTAAGCAAAAAAGAGGAAGACCCTCAACGAGATGGACTGAAGCAGTGGCTGCATCAATGGGTTTAAACGTAGCAGCACTGTGAGAATGGCGCAGAACCGGGCAGTGTTTTGTTCTGTTGTGCATAGGGTCACCACAAGTCGGAGCTGACCTGAAGGCACCTCACAATAATAAAGAAAAGATATAAATTGCCCGAGATGTATGCAGAGACTGAGCTGACTAAAAGCTGAGTAGGTCACACCGTGCAGATTTAATCCATCAAGATAGTGTTGATTTGAGAGAACTTCAGGCTGGAATTCTTAATTCCCTGTGAATTCTCGATCATGACAACTTAACTCATGAAATGCATAACTTTTTTTTTTTAAATAATAACACTTTTTACCCCTTAGAGGAGTGAGATTTTGTGATATTTTTTCCTCGATAAATGAATGGGTCTGAGAAATGAGAAATCTGAGCCACAGGGCTGTACCTTCTAATCTAGAAGTCAAAAACGGTTTCAGTTTGTGCGATCGATAGGCTGATTCTGATGCTGGGACATTGACTTTCTTAAAAGTACACTGCTCCCAGAGTACATTCAAATTAGGTTAATATGTCTGTCTCTGTTTCCAAGCAGGGTTTTTTGAAATCTAGGG